ATTGTAATTGCCTAATGGGCCTTCTAGAGTTCTAGTTCTAGTAGAAGTCTAAAAGTAGAAGACTATTAGGAATTAGGAAACTATTCAAACTAGGAAGTAGGAACTACCAAACTAGTAGAATACTAGTTCGGTTCGGGTCGGGTTGATTTCGGTTTTCACGCAAGAAAATCGAAACCGACCCGAGATTTCGGTTTATGTATGTGCCCAACCCGAAATCGACCGGTACGGATGAAAACCCAGCCGACTCAGGTTGGGTCGGTCCGGGTTGGTCGGTTTGGTCGGGTTGGGCATTCTTATGAACAGCCCTACTATGAGAGATGTCTCAGGTGGAGCTTTGACTAAGTCCCAGGTGTCATTTTCTAGAAGAGCTTGAATCTCAGAATCCATTGCATCTTTCCAATGTGGTTCTGCTACAGCCTGCTGATAAGATCTGGGAATGTCTGTGGTAGATAAAATGGCAAAAAAGGAGCTATGGTTTGGTGAATAACCATAACGGTTAGGTGGATGAGAAATTCTAGAGGAACGGCATAAAGTAGGAGCAATAGGTTCAGAGGGAAAGTCTTGAGCGCTTACTGAGGCAGTTGGAGTGACCAGATCAGCAACTGGAGGCGGAGCAAAGGGGGGATGGAGACTGAAGAAGGCCGTTGCTTCCTAAAGTAGGTCTGAAGTTGTTGCGGAGGTGACAATGGAGTATTCGATGTACCTGTAGAATCAGAAGAAACAGAAAGAGCTGGGAACTTCACAATATGTTCAAAAAATGACTCATTTTCAAGAAAAACTACATTATGAGAAATTCGAAGACGACAAACCAAAGGGTCATAGCAAAGATACCCTTTATGTTCAGAGTTATACCCCATAAAGGCGCACAAAGCTGCTTGTGTAGTTAACTTTGTGCGTTCAGGGGGTGGAAGGTGGACAAAACAAGCACATCCGAATACTCTGAGCATGGATAGGTCTGGGGATTTGTGGAAGAGGGATTGAAAAGGAGAGGAGTTGTTCAAAACTAATGACGGAAGACGATTTATGAGATACACAGCAGTGATGGCCGCCTCCACCCAAAACCAAGAGGGTACGTGGGAATCCTGTAAAAGGGTTCTAACTACACTCAAGATATGCCCATTTTTCCTTTCTGCAACCCCGTTTTGTTGTGGGGGTGCCTGGACAAGACTTTTGGGTTTGAATTCCACGTTGTTTTAAGTAGTTTGGAAATCTCCATCAATATACTCTCCCCCTGAATCCGATCGTAGCACACAAATTCGGGCATCAAACTGAGTAGCAGCATAGGTGTGAAAGTGCTGAAATACGGAGTACCCTTCAGATTTCTTTTGAAGAAAATAGGCCCAAGTGAAACGAGTGTAGTCATCAATAAAGGTTACAAAAAATTTAAAACCCATCCGCGAGACAACTGGAGACGACCAAACATCACTATGTGTTAAATAAAAAGGAACTGTTGCAAGTTCAAAATGAGAAGGAAAAGGCAAAATATGACTCCTACATAAGCCACAAGTAATTCAGTCTTTATTTACATTTTTAAGAGAAACATTAGAAATAGGTAAACTACCAGAGGAAAACAACTGATCAAATTTCTTAGAGAAAGGATGGCCCAGTCGTTTATGCCACAACTGCCAATCTTTATTACAATTAACAGATTCAAAACTAGAAATAGTAGAAATCAAACATGAAGTAGAAGCAGGCACAGTTTTATTCTTCTCAAATTCCAGAGCAAAGAGTTTTCCCAGTCTACGCCCCTTCCCCTTCACCTCCCCAGTTTGTCGGTCCTGTATCAAACAACCATCAGAAGTAAATGAACATTGTTACCTTTCTCTACAAGTTGGCCAACAAAAATTAAATTGGTGGTAAGCTTAGGTACAAACAGGGTTTTGGACAAATGAAATGGAGATGACTTAGAAGTAATAAATATAAATCATCACATCCAAGTATATCTAATTTCTCACCATTAGCAGTAACATGTGTTTATTGGGGAGATGGGGTTTACGACACTGACCAAGAGTGGCCCCTGTCATATGGTTAGAGGCTCCTGAGTCAATGTACCATAGATGGTTCGGTGAGGGACAGTAGGTAGGAAACTTACCAAACAGGCCCATAGCAGAGAAGGCTGAAGAGATAACAGAGGACATGAACTGTCGAATTCGTTCTTCAGACATGCTACCTGAGGTGTCATTCTGCCCAGTCACAGAAGTAATGGAGGATGCTGCATCTGATCCATCTACACCTGTCTAATAAGCCTTGTAGCTTCCTTTCTTCTGATTTGATCCACTGCTTTTCTGAGGCCGAGTGAGGCATTTAGTGATAATATGGCTAACCTGCTTACAGTAGGTGCATGTTTTCTTTTTCTTGCAGTGAGAAACAACATGTCCATGTTAGACAGTTTTGTATGCCCTTAGCTTCAATCAAGAATGATGTACTTTATGAATTTATTGTAAATGAATAAAAGTACATATTTGATTCATGTTCCCTTGGTATGTTTCTGTGTAATACCCTTAAACTGGACACTTA